TTAGTACTGTGTTTGAATCTCGCGCAACATTTGTAGGAAAAATTTTATTGGCTGCTCCGTAGTACCAGCCGCCATTATGCGCAATGGTTCACCTTTCTTATTACATCATGGTCTATGGCCGTGTTGGCTCCCTCTGGAGTCAGGAGCTATTAACAGAATAATATCATCATGGTCTCCAGTCTTCTTGGTGATAGGTCTATGGCCAGGATCTATGCTTACGTTACTCAGGAAGGTTAAGTTTGATAAATAACAACATAACCTGTACACGCACGTCGCGCTGTCGATTTGCATATTTTTGAATTATTTGTGTGAATTTGATGGCTTTTTCACAATCGAACTCAAGAGGTAATTCTAATGAGAGCGTAATGTCTCCTTCGCACATTTTTCGAATTTTGAATATTCCACCTCTCTTGTAGAATTGCAGAACAGAAAGATCTTGGAGGAGCTGCAGCTGAAGAAGCAGATGCTTCTGAAGCAAGGAGTCGCGCCGTCCTTAAACACATCGTTGGGTGTCTCGTCGACCGGCTCTGCGTCAAATATAGTGAGTGTACTTTGCGCGGATGATAACCAAGGGAATATTCTTTTCTATTACTCTGTTATATTGATACATATCCTTCACAACAGGCCGCAACGCAATCAAATGATGGCGTAGCGATGAGTGCGTCCCAAAGAGCGGCACTGCATAATGCGCACGCGGCTTCGTTCGGTTACTTCGTTACGCAAGACTCTTCCTTTGGTAATCTGATATTACCGGTTCTCCCTCGATTTGACAATAAATGAGCCCACCTCTCCCAAACGTACAGGCGTGTGCAAACAATTAAATGTTACTAAAGACTATATGCCGGTGACGTTCACGAGACACTTATTCGTCAAGGAACTGAATAGTCGTTTTACAATAAACATCTGTTGTAACAAGATTTTATAGAGATAATAGGCATATAATGACTGGGCTCCGACTTAGCCAATTGGAGGCGTATCTGCAGCAACTGGATGTGTTCGAAAAGCCGAAGGTCTCGCTTGAGCAGTATGCCACCAGTGCGCATATCGCCTCGCATTTGTTGTACACCGCACAGTCACAATTTGATGACTTAAAAGGTAAAAGTCAGTTCAAATCGAACTTCAGTAACGTTCGGATCTGCGCTTATTTTTATCTTTTCACTATCTCACGGATGACAATGACTTATTAGTCTATGTATTTTTCCTTGTTTTCTTATTTGTTACTTGAAAAGGACCTGAAGTAAGGTCGAAACATTGTAACGAATCTAATAAAAGTTGCCAGTTGGGTTGACAATAAGTTCTCTGTTTTAAAAGGTAAAAGCGTAGCGGATCTAGGCTCCGGATGTGGCACGTTGTCGTTGGGTGCCAAGATGCTCGGTGCCGAATACGTGGTTGGGTTCGAGATAGACCCCGACGCAATCGACATACAGTACAGAAATTGCAGCGATATAGAGCTCTTTGTCGAAGTTGTGCAGTGCGACGTACTGCGATATTTACCAGGTATTATCCGTCCGTGTACAAATATCTCATGCTATTTATTACAGATACAAATACGTGGCGTATTTCACGTTACAGGAAGGTTTGATAAGTACTTCGATACTGTTATAATGAATCCACCTTTCGGCACCAAGAACAACGCCGGCATCGACATGAGATTTCTGGAAACTGCAATCAAGCTTTCGTCCAACGCGGTTTACTCGCTGCACAAGAGCAGCACGCGGGATTACGTTCTATCGAGGGCGGCGCAGCTCGGCGCGCAAGGGACGGTGATAGCCGAGCTCAGATACGACCTGCCGAAAGCTTACAGATTCCACAAGAGAGCGTCCGTCGACATTCAAGTGGATTTTATACGATTTGAATTAAAGCGCTGATGCACTGTCGAGAAGCACGCCCGTTGAACATTTATTCGAACTTGATGCCCTGTGCCAGAGGTAGCTCGTTTCCGTAATTGATGGTGATGGTGGCGCGCCGCATGTAATGCTTCCATGCGTCGCTTCCGCTCTCGCGGCCTCCGCCCGTGGCCTTCTCGCCGCCAAACGCGCCGCCTATCTCGGCGCCACTGGTGCCGATGTTGACGTTGACTATACCGCAGTCGGACCCGTGAGGGCCGATCCACTGCGTGAGAAAGTGGAATTCGATTTAGTTAACCCGAGTGTACGCGATTGTGCGCTTGTAAATTCGCTTATACGCAATATGACAACGTACTGGCTGCCATAGACACTTACGTGAAATACATTTCCAATACTTTTAGTAAAGAGACTACTGCTTAGTCCCTGCTCCACGCTGTTGTTAAGATCGATAGCCTCCTCCAGGGAGTTTGCCTCCAGGATGTACACGATCGGAGCGAAGGTTTCCTGTTGCACCACCTCGGCGCTAGCTCGTAAACCCGAGATGATCGTTGGCTCGACGTAAAAACCGGCTCGCTGTATTTGCTTTCCACCGAATTCTATTGTGCCGCCGGCTTCCACGGCTTTCTGAATCGCCACCTGCGGCGAAGTGTCGGATTAATCGAAGAGTTCCTTCACTCATACGTGTTGAGAGAAGCGGATGTGAATTTTCGCTCGATACACCTTGCTCGGAAGATAATTTTTGTATCAACGCACACACCTTGTACGCGTCAACTGCTGATTGATTGTGCAACGGTCCATACAGCACATTGTCTTCCAACGGGTCTCCGACTCGCTCCAATATGCTCTTGTACGCCGTCTTCAATCTCCCTAAAAATTTGTACGTAACAAGCGACGACTAAGCGCGTTCTTCCATTTATATTTACCTAGAAATTCGTCCTTTATCTTCTTGTGCAATATTAATCTCCTGGTAGTGGTACATCTTTGTCCAGCCGTTCCGACGCACGAGAAGACCGCCGCTCTCACTGCCATTTCCAAATCGGCGTCCTGTGCGACTATCGACAAAAGAGAAACAGTTACAAATGTGTCATCTACGCTACTTTTAAGGACGTACCGATAAGTGCGTTGTTACCACCAAGCTCCAGCAGCGATCTTCCAAATCTTTGCTGAATCTTGAGGGCTACTTGTCTCCCCACGTTCGTGCTTCCGGTGAACGAAATTAGAGGTACCCTAGCGACAATCGTTACCGACCTGTTAAATACGACGTGCGGCACAACAAACGCGGTAAATTTAGATCAGAACTGACCGCTTGTCGTTCACCAGAGTCTCTCCGACGTCCGGTCCACCCGTGATCAAGGATGCGACGGAACCCGGGATACCGTTGCGCTCCAAGACACTCGCGATTATCTTGGTGGTTGCGATGGCTATCAAGGGTGTGCTCGATGCCTCCTTCCAGACGACGGTGTTACCGCAGACCATAGCGATAGCGCTGTTCCATCCGTATACCTGACAAGACGAATCAGTAAATTGAGCTGTAAAAGCGGGGCGATCACGAAAGTCTCCAGGAATTATATTCACCGCTATGGGAAAATTGAACGCGGAGATGACGCCGACTACACCCAGGGGATTCCACTTCTCCAGCAGCGCGTGGTTCTTTCTCTCCGACGGGAATAGGCTGCCGGGTAACGTCCGCGACAGCCCGACCGCGTAGTCGCATATATCGATGAATTCCTGAACCTCGCCTATGCCCTCCGGTAATATCTTTCCTACGGCACGATGCACTCTGCGTTAATTATATATGACGGACGTACGTACCGTAGTCATTCCGATATGCTGCAATAGTAAGCTTTCACAGCGATGATCTTAACGCTCACAGAGGTGATGACAAGTTACCCATTTCCAAGGACACCAGGCGTCCCAACGGCTCCAAATTTCTCCTGAGCTCGTCCCCGATTTGCCGCACGATGTCCCCCCTGACCGGCATCGGGATAGATGCCCATTGCGGCCACGCTTTGCGTGCCTCTGTTACAGCATTGCTAGCCTCCTGCGGCGTGGACTCGCGGACTTTCGCTATCACTTTGCCGGTCGCCGGCGATATCGATTCTACCAACTGTGTTTAACACGAAACATACGATTAATATAGTTTTACTGTGTTATAACGTGATTTGCTTAAGACATTATGGAAGATGCCTGCTTTCATAATGTGTACCAGCTCATTATCTACTTTGATAAGACTTTGAGATTGGCGTTACCTTGCCAGATCCACCCCACCTGCCGTCGTAGAGGCCGGGATTTTCGACATTGATGCCCAATTGCTTTAAAAAGCCATATTTTGGATCGGTCACCAAGTGCCTCGACATTTGAAATTGGGAAATGTAGTAACCACTTTTCTTCAACAATAAACGTGACATTATCAACCGCCTGTTATTGACTAACCGAGCCGCCGAGCGCAAACTTAATAAATAGCTCGGGTTATCAGACTGACACTGTTTGTCGGGAGAAAAAGTGGGAGAGGAGAAAGGCGATAAGGATACAAAGATATCCTACAATTTGTACCGTATCTGAACACGACACTAATGACAAATAAGAAATCGTGCACTATTAGGAACCTGCTTGAATCTTTGTAATAAGATTATCTTTTTCTAGCCGTTACTACTTTCGTCCGTTTTACTGGAGACTAATGCTTTTGTAGAACTCAGAGCTCTCTATCGATAAAAACGTACGCGGTTATAGATATATAAAAAGACGCGTTTTATTCGCAATAATAACATTTACAACATCACAAGAGGATGGTGCGGCAGTGGTATACACAGAATGGTAAATGTTTACAAAAGGTTTGTCTTTTTTCGTTACGGTTAATGTCTCTTGTATTTGTATTTAGAGGCACTCGTATGAGAGATTCGATGGAAATGTTAATTTCATTTAAATGCCACTGTAGACGTCTTATGGAATAATTTCGTCGTGAATCCCCTGTCAAGTGACAACACGTGCGTCAACCCGGTCTACACAGCTGGTAACATCTTAAATCTGAAATGAGTTGGAGCACTGATCTGGTCAAAGTTGGCTGATCCTAAAAATGATGTCATAAATTATTTTTACGATTCCACCGTGTACTATGGATGCGTTTTATGTCGATTGGACTGCCTAGGGCAACATACCGTGGATTTATCAAAGTTTTCTAGCAAGGTCGCTCTCTGCATATCGTCCACGCCCTCACAAGTTGCCAAGAATGTTGGCAAAAAGTGGCCAAAAAACCACTCTATGTTAACAGATGCTAAACTATAAACAGCCGCAGCTATCTCGTCTGCCAACAAGTTGTGGGATCTGTATAAATTAAATGAGACAAAGTGAACACATTATTATTGACATAATATTACGGTATCGATAAAAGTAATACCGTTACTCACTGTTGAAATAAAACTGTGAACAGCGCCATTAGAAATCTCTCAAGAAGATAAACCTTGAATACGGCTCGCTGATAAAGTCGCCATCTGATATTTAATTGTTCGAGGCTCTGCAAGCTCTGTCGGAATATATTGACGTCTGATTGAAGTAGAGCTTGGCCAAAAGCCTCCAAGATTGCCACCAATTCTTCTTTGTGCTCGACAGGTTCGTCTTCTTCGGGATGTCCAAGAGTCCGCAATATCGATGTATTGTAGAAATACTGCCACCGATGCATAAGAATACTAAAAAGTAATGCGAAGATTATAATGCTTGTATAAAAACGTGTGCGCTACCGATATATTACTGTGAATACCTGTGAAAGAGCTTCAGTAAAACTAACGTCGTGTCCGGGTGAGCGCTTAGGTTGCTTCCGATGGCAGGCCATACCTGGCCCAAACACAGATTCGTTACCGAGGGAACAAATGCTTTGAATGCACTACTGGGTGCTGATACAACAAGTATCAAAATTTCCAGCAACTGATCCAACGCCGGACCAGCAGAAATATTTTCCCTGTAAAAGAATTGACATTTTAATACCGTAAGATTTTAATCTTTAAAACACAATGATTTTTGTCATTTTTAAAAGCAACATTTATACAAATTTTTTAGTTATTTTGCTAACGAAAATTTTTATTTTCACTCTCCAGAAAAATTGAACAAGTGCAAATCCACAAAAAATATTATTCGGTAAAACAAAGAAAATATGGAACGTAGTTTTGCAAACTTAGAGACTAATATTACATCTTGGGAATTAAATGGCTCTGCCATATCGCATCATAATACTTTGTACAAACCTGGTATAAAGTTGCAGCATGCCTTGAACTGCGTTTTGCATAAATTCAGGACCTAGCTGTTGTTGTAATACTGAAAATGCAGAATGTAGAAAGCTAAGTAACAATTCGCATATACTCTGGCACCTTATCACACAAGACAATAATTCTAACGTCCTGTTTATGATCGACTCTAGACACGAATGCAACATCTTCTTTATAGTCGTCGATGATGACGCGCAATCTTCCAGCAACTGAGTCAGTGGCATTATCGTAATCGAAATTGTCGACTCTGAAGGCACTGGTTGTCCTTGCACACCCAGAGGCGCTGACAGAGCTAATATCATAGTACCTAGGCATAAAACGTTTTTAATTTTTATGTACACGTATTCTCGTTCAAGAATAGAGTAACTAACTAGACAACTGTAGAGGTTTACGAAGTAATGGCTTACCCAACAACCTTTGCCTCGTCGCTGCGTCACCAGGTGGTAATATAATCCCGTTTATCAATGCCCTACGTAGAACTTTAATCGTGTCCGATTTCAAATACGGATACGTGCCCATGGAAATTAGATTCCTGAAGGTCGGTTGGTCCCACAAGATAGGCTTTAAAATGGCGGCGATACTTTGGAAAAGATGAATGGCAGAGTGGATGAGATTCGAAGGAGGCGGATGATCGCAGGACGCGGTGTACGTCGTTGCCCAAATACACGAGTCGATGCAACGCTGACAGAGTGTCTCCTTAATCTTCTCCGGTCTTCTGGCTATCCAATGACACCACGCTTGAAGAGAAGCCAAAAGCTGTGAATGTCTAATAGCGCAAATCAATATATAACAAGAACCTACATGTCGCGGCATATCATTGATCGCTTTTACATGCTTAAACACATGGTACATAACGGCCAGGGACTTACACTTCTATGAGATCTATCACGATAGCGGCTGGTTGAATCGCTGCTTTGTACAGCTGATTATCTCTCGCAAACATACACGCCTCCAGAGTCTGCGACACAACTTCTTCGGCTACGCCCTGGTCAACGTTTGTTTGATCACCTATTGACACAGATAATGATACCTTCTGCGCAATCGAAAACTGATAAAATCGCTCGATTGCTTACCGATGAAGAGGGAATATAGCCTGGTTAAAGCTTGCGTAGTCGATGCTAGATCTCTCAGATGTGCATGCACATTCGATGCCTCTGCATCGTTTAACAAAATAACACGCCCATTGGCGACTGCCGCGCCTAATTCGCCAAAAATTATTAATCCTTCCCTCCACGAACGGTACTGGAAAAAAAAATTACAATCCAACATCGCGAACGAATTCTCGTGATGACGTTAGGACGATTCTGCCAATTAGAAATTACCAGTAGCGTAAATATCGGGATGGGCGAAATGTCAGCGATCTTTGCCAAACATTCTATGTTGCATCTTAAAAAATGCTGCCACTCCGTTTCTTCCTGAAAAGAGAGATTTACGCGATATTATTGCATATGGTGACTACTGATCTTAGGTAAGACCTTGATATTAACAAGAGCTCACGAGTAAGCTTACATTCTCGTCCAAACTCTCCGTGTCGAGGTCTCTCAATACCCGAGCGTTCAGTTTGAAACTCATCTTTTGTAAGATCCGTTCGGCGAGGGCCAGGGCGACGTCGGAGTATCGCGACTGGGTGCTCTCCAGAAGAGTGGTCCAAACGTCCAGACAACGCAGATATCCGTTCACAGTAGAAGCTTGCTGGAATGTATGATGGCACAGCACTTCCAGTAACGTATTCACTGGAAACTTTGAGCTCGACTCCATCCTTTTCATGTGATTCGTTATAAACAATTGCAGGAACTCCGTCATTTTTTCCATATAGCTGAAAGAACGCATTTTACCTGGCGAGATGGGAAAGCGTTACAAATTTCTTGACAAAAAACGACTCGTACCTCTCCTCCACCGAGTCCAGACGCTCCACCAGCTGAAATAAGCCAACGCCATTCTGAAATATCTCCAGCAACAACGTGTCGGTCGCGTCGGGCGAGCAGAGCGGTCTGTACAAAAGCTCGTTGATCGTGGTCAGTGCTTGAACGGCCGTCTCGATCTGCTTGCCATTCTGCGGAAACAAATATGTACACTCGGTCTCATCCGCTACCGCGCGTTCCGCCGCCAAGAGCGAAGCCCTACCATCGCGTCGTGATATTTGGCACATGAGAAAATGGCATCTAACAAGTTAGTCGAGATGTTGCTCGACACGTCTATCCAGCTGAACAGGTGCGCCAGAACGTCGAGAGTAGCTGTGCAAACTTCACTAGTGCCCGTCGCCAGTCCCTCGACGTCCAGTACTGCTCGCGCGGGTGCGAGACTCTGTCCACTGGTGGGCGACGGAGGTGGCGTCACGGTCCCAGAGCGGCTTTGCAATTTCGTGGTTTCTTTCAGAAGCACTTTCGGGGGCAACAGAGTGGATCGCACGATTACTCGCAAGGCGCAAGTTTAACAACCAAAATACGTACCTGCAAGCGTATTCAGAGTCCGAGGCACTTGGGCGCTCAGCAGCTTGAACAGCTCGTTTTTCCTGAGCATCGGCAGATCCTCTCGCGGCGTGGCCAGCTCCTCCGAGGCTGTTCTCAAGTATACAAGTCCCAGCAGTCTCGTGTGCTTGTGGTCCAACAGCTGTTTCGCAGAAACCAGAGAGTATTGTACAGTGAAACCGCGTATAATCCATGTTACAATTCACACGCGCGCGCCCGACGTGCGGGAGAACATTCTCGGTTCGCGAACCTGCAAGATGTTGGAGTAAAAGTCCGGATAGAAGTGCGGCCAGTCGTGTCTCGCTATGTCCACCACCAGTTTCACCACTTTGTTCCTGACAAAGGACGCGACGTCCCTCTCCAGCGACAGTGTGTACAAGGTGGACCTCGTGAGAGCCCTGTCCTCCCACGGGAGGATGGGCCACCGCCTGCTGATGGTCGTCTAGCGGGACAAAATCAGAACTGAGGCGCGCCGCCCGAAGAGGGGAAACTTACGTGCCGAGTCGGTCCGCGCGTTTACCTCCAGGGTGGACAGGGCGAACATGCTGACGTAGTGGTTGCTCGTGGAGGACAGGAAGTGCAGGCAGGGCTTCCAGGAATCGATCTGCCCGGCGAACTCCTGGAAGCTGCGCTCGATCGTGCGCTTCCGCTCGTTGGTCGTCTCCGGGCAGAAGAACTCCGTCATCAGCTGCTCCAGATTCTGCAGCGCGACCGCATCGTCGTCCTGGAAGCGCGACGCTTCACGTAAATCTTTATCGCGGCGCCGCGCGCCGTGCGGCCCCGATAAAACGGGACGCAGGCGTGCCGTTTTCTCTCTTTCTCTCTCCCTGCCGCGGGTAGAAGATCGCCCGTGTAATCCTTACCATGGTCGCCTACTCGGTCGGCGCCGCGATAAAAATGCAGTGTAAATATACAAAACGCGGGAGGTTAGAGCCGTCACTTGTCAGACGTCATTTTCGGCCGCCAGTCCGGGCGTCCGGAGCCCCAGGTTCCTCTGGACGTCGGCTCTGGCTGGCTCGGCTGGCTCGCCTCTGGGCTCTCGCGGCTCGCGGTGCCTCCGGTGTGCGCAGTCGCGTGCGCAGTACGCGCGCACGGGGTGCTATCGGCCAGCGGGGATTCGCGCGACAACAACCGGGATGGATCACCTGATTGGAGCGTCCTTTAAACGGTACGCTTCGACACACCTCGGCGCGCGCGATATTTACATTTACCTTTGTCCATCGGCCAGTTTGCACGATTGGCAAATCCTCTCCCGGCCAGTTCCTTCGCGAAGCCGCTCTCGGGTACAAGCCTCGGCAGCCTCGTATGTTCGCGGCCCGGCGGCTGGTTTTGCAGAAACTTTTGTGGAGTCTTGTACGGCGTATAATTTAACATTATATGCATTTAACGTATAGACGGGCGTTCTCATTGTTTGCGAATTTGTTACAGTGAAAATCCGGGGAGAGACGCGGCCGTGTTTACGTGACGCTGCTGTATTATATCGGATACCAACGTCGTCGTCCGCGGCTTCCAACGACTACCTTTAAAATGGTATGACAACGAACGCGCATATTCCTGATACACGTGGGACGTCGATCGGTTTAACTTCGCGGCGATGATACATTACGGCTAATTGTTACAAAGGAGCCGTTCGCACAACTTGTGGAGACTCAGGAATAATATTATATAACATTTTTCAACAGATATCACGAACGAAGATAGGCATAGATTGCCTGGAATTGTTGTTATACGCCGGCCTGATAATCGCCACAGCCGCGGCCCTTTGTGAAAATTTAGGAAATCGTTCGGTCACGACAATCGCACACGTTTCGCCGGGAAACGTGCTGCCGACGCATTATGACATACAGCTGCGGGTGCCACATCCTGCGAAGCGCAATGTCGACTTTTACGGCAGCTCCGGCATCAGCCTCTACGTACGTTGCGCGACACGAAGCATCGGTTTGCACTCGCTAGGAACGGTAATAGACGAGACGAAGACAGAGCTGATTAAAATTAAGGCTAAAACTCGCTCGTACTATCCGATTTCTCACGTTTACGACGCTGGGAAGCACATCGTAGCCATTACGTTCGGCGAGGAGCTGAAACCCGGTTCTTACAAGTTGCACGTAAAATTTACTGGTGTCGCACCTAAATTGTACGAATATGAATTGGTTCACTTTTACAGACAATCGTACAGAAGTATAGAAAATATTGTGTGAGTACTAGGTAGATATATTATAGATACAAGTACTAGATAAATATTATAGATACAATAATATTGTCCGGTACGTGGCGCGTTGCCACGTAGTGAAAACTGCTGTTCGAAAGTACTGTTTGCGAGGGAAAGCGGTCTTTATTAATTATCGTATAGAAATCTTGCCCAGACTCGCGTCCGCAATCAGCGAGGGCCAAACCTCCAATCTTTTCTTCTGAAAATCAATACTCTTGTTAAACAAAACAGCAGTCTTCACTATGTTGCAAGAATTGACCCCGAGATTCTAGAAATCACGCACACCTGCATTGTTATATCGCGCTAATAAGTTATTAATTATTACATAACGCAATATAAAGTGAACGGACTAACGCTTGTGCGCCACCAAATGACTGAAAGTTCATGTAAGATATTGTTATAAAATGTAGATTGATAGCCAGGATGCCGTTCATGCCTGTTGCTATATATGAGGACTCTCCATGCTGGGACCAATCGCAGTCGAACACCACCTTCACCGTTGCGGTAATTCATAATTCGAGATACACAGCCCTGTCGTATGATAAGCCAGAGCGAGTAAGTTTCATTAAGGAACGTGACATGATGTGCACGCACTTCCCTGAATCTCCCTCGATGTCCACCTGCGCCGTGGTGGTTGTGGTGCTCGATTTCGTTCATATTTCTAACAGAAAGGAAACCGTCAATTTGTGGTGCCGACCGCATCTAAAAGCACACCTGAAATTTGCGCACGGTGTCGCCCAAAATATCACGCAGCATTTGAAGCAGTACTTGCGACACTTCCATAAGAAGATAGATCACGTCGCGGTGCCGAAGTTTGCGCTCCTAGAATCCGCGTATTGGGGAGTCAACATTTACAAGTAATAATTTATACAGTTTACATACATATATTCAATATGCCGTAATAAATATAGTATATAATAGAATGATGTAAACATAAATAAAAATTAGCATTAGTATACAATGAAGTAATACAATTAATGTAATTAATATTGGAATACATTGGACTGCTTATAATGGAAACATTTGGTAGCACATTGTCAGATTATACATATCACTTTCAGCGAGCAGGACATTGTTTACAATAAGGAAACGCATCCGACGTTTCGCATGATGGATGTGGCCAAGAAAATAGCGACTCAAGTAGCACATCAATGGTTCGGCGTTACAATTAGTCCTATTTGTTGGTCTAATATGTGGCTAAGTCAAGGACTTGCGTCGTTTTTCCACACGTATATCCTCGACAAGGTTACTTCATATTGTTAACGCAACTTCACACACGCGATTAAACGAAGCACTTTACAGTATGATACAAAAGATTAAAATGTATAAAAAATATAAATAACAAATTTATTAAAATCAAAATGATGATTTAATATTATCAAACTTTTGTAAGGTTTGATGTATCAAGATTCAATTCTCCTTCAATATATTACAATTCTTTTACAACTTCAATATAAATAATTATATTTATTTTTAGATATTTGAAAAATGGCGCCAAATGGATTTTCTAGTCGTTAAAGACTTGCAAGAATCTTTTCGTACAGATTCGGTTAATCTGTTGGGTCAATCATGTTCGAAATCATCAGCAGTCCGCAACCCGTACAATTATTATTTTAACCCTGCTATTTACAAGAAAGGTAAGATTAGATAAATGCAATTAAATGGCTGTACGTAGAAAATATCCGAATGTAAGGAAGAGACAAAACGAGATAGAGAAAGCTAGCAGTAACCAAAATTTATATGCGCAACGCGTTTATGTATCGATTTTACTTTAAACTTTATTTCAAAGAGTTAAACTTTTGTATATATGAATCACCGTAGCACCCATTGTATTACGCATCTTGCAACATATAATGACTGATGAAGTATTTCGGGAGGGTATTATCACATATTTACATTATCAGTGAGTAATACATTATAGTATATGTATCATAATTTATATAATAAGTTATTCAGTTATAAATCCATTTGTATGTAGTGTATAAAAAATATTTTCTATAAATTTAACTATTTGTTTTTTAACATTTATTATTAAATTCTAAAGTATCACTTGTATAGATTATTATAATGCATTGCACGGACGTGAATTAAGAGAGTGAATTATATTTTCTTAATACATATTTATAATCTATTGCAATGTTAATAATATCGTTTTACAAATTTAGCACGTTTGCTCCAGTCACATTCGACAATTTATGGAACGTCATGCAACTTGTCCTGAGCAAATCTAACGTTCTTCATAGAAACTTTAAGATAAAAGAAGTGATGGACAGCTGGGTAAACTACAAACAATATCCTTTGGTGACTGTAACTCGAAATTACGAAACTGGTGAGACGATAATATCACAAAAACGGTTTCACTTGCAAAAGAATGAAGAGAATGACGTTACTGAGGATCACAAATGGTGGATACCGGTGACTTTTGCCACGCAAACAAATCCAGATTTTTCCAATACCTTTCCCAATTACTGGCTAAGTCCGCTGGATCAAAATATAAGTCTTCATGTTCACCCGAACGATTGGATCGTAGTTAATTTACAGCAAGTTGGTAGGTATTGACTGATAAATTTTGTTCTTAATAATAAGCGTATTTTTTTATTCTGTATAACTGACATTTTACGTCATTTAGCATCTTTACGTTGGTATTTTTTTTATTAAACTCAAATTTAAAAGGTAAGGTTCGATAAAATATTATATAAAATATTTTGCAATATTATTATTGAATTTAAAAGATTTTAAATATTGTAAAGACAATCAACAATTTTGATATGTAAGTTTTTGTTTACGTAATTCTCCGAGATATTTAATTCAACGGTATAAAATAATCTTATCATTTAGAATGTACATTTTTCATAATATGTGTTATATATCTTTCTTGTTTCGAACGTAAAAGGAAGAAAAATCCCTTGTACATGTGGATTCAAATAACTGATAAAATTGATTATGCAACGTATTATGTGACAGGATACTATCGTGTTAATTATGATTCTACGAATTGGCGAAAAATTACAAATTATCTAAACTGTGAGGAATATACGAAAATACATGTTCTTAATCGTGCTCAAATCATTGATGACGCATATGCCCTTCTGACGGAAAAGCAACTCGACATATTCACATTTTTTAATGTTACGAGCTATCTATCGCGAGAGAGAGATTACATAGCGTGGTATCCAATGTTTCGAATTTTATCATTATTGACGCAGTTCTTTTCATTTCCAGAGAGTAAAGCTTTTAAGGTAGATAACAATAAACTTTATAAAGATATCCTACTTAAGAAAAAAATATTGATTAGATACTATTTTGATTATATAAAATTATTGGTTTCAACGATTGCCGCATTATTTATACAAATAGAAAATTAAAATATCTCGCGAAAAAATAAAGTAATAAAGAAAAATACATATAACTAAAACCTTATGTCTTTTTGCGATTTTCATTTATAGTTCAATTTGAAGAAAATTTAATGACGGAAAGCTTTCGTTTTCATATGAACTTCAAACATTGTATACTTATTTTCTTGTTTCATGATTTCTAGTTACATATGGCGAAAATTTTTACTGGACTTCTCGAGAACGTAGGATACGAAGAAAAACTTGATGAAGATGATCTTATGAAACTTAAAAGACTGGATGCTACAAAGTGGGCATGTATCGTTGGCAATTCGAAATGTAGAAGAATGGCCACTGTTAAATTGGACGAGTATCTTGCAAATCCTGATCGCAAGTAATTATTATAATCAAAATTATTTTTTAGTCATTTTCCTTACATTTTGCGCAATGTCTAATAATTAATTATTTCAAAATGTATTGCTGTTAGTTAAAACTTTCATATTCAAACTTTTACATACATATAAACACGCACTGAGAAAAGATTATTAAAAATTAACACGTTAAAATACTATGGATAGAAAAAATCTTTAAAAGTATTAAAAATAATACTGCGGTTTCTTAATTTTTAAATTGTTTTAAATGGGTATTGTACAGAATTTCTCCGTGGTGGCAGAAATGGGTATATTGTTCTGGCTTGATGGCAGCTAACATAACTACTTGGAACAGAGTAATGGATTTATACTTGCAAAAACCTGACAGAAAATTTTTAGAATATTTAGCGTGCTCTGAAGATCCTGATGTCATTATTAACTATTTAAACATTATTGCTTCGAAGAATTTGATAACGATAGATATAGATCGTGATCTTGCTCTTACTTGTATCCTTAACAGACACGCATCGAATAACTTGGTGCTTGATTATGTATTAGAGAACTTCGAGCAAATGGAATCAAAGTAATGACATATTTTTCTTCCTAAATATATATTGTTTTGTAATTGTGAAATGTGTAGTTATGAAATGTAGGAAATTTATTGTATGTATTAAGGCTATTTCTTTTTTGCAGATTCATTACTGCAAATATAATATTAAGAAATCTTATTTCCAATGTGTATTCTAAAGAACTACTTCATAAGGTAAATTTCATGATTCTACAAATATCATTCTTACTTTTATTACTTTGTACATTCTATTCTTATTATTTTATTATTAAATTTACTTTTGTTTGTGCCACATAGGCTCTTCACTATAGCATTAAAATAAAAAGTATGACTAAATTATTATTTATTAGCAGAGAATAACTGCAAAAATTTGTTTCAGATAAAAGAATTCATGAAATGCAATCTCGGGGAACAATCAAAAATTTCGATTAAAGTGCAACGCCTAATACATGAACGTTTGATCGAACTCAAAGTTATGAAGGCAGATTTCAAGTTCTTGTTTATAAATAAAGATCAAGTGTAATGATTTGAGTAATTGATTATATAAATCTAAAATAAATGCAGGATACAATATACATATTTGTTCACATTTTAGAACTTAATACCGTCTTATCTTTAATATAATATTAATATAATACTGTATTATAAATTTTGTTAACGTTATATTGTGTTTACGTTTCTCGCTTCTTTTTAAGGTCGAATCATACCTTTTTAAGACAGAGAGTTCAGACTAATTCAATTTACTGAAGTATTACGTTAATATATAAAAAATCGATTGTTTAAATTATAAAATTTATATTATGCAAGGCTGTGCTAATCCTTATATAATAATTACGTCAAGTTTTTAATCCAGGCTTAATAATATTGTCAGCTAATAGATAACAATAATTTATTAAAAAAATAAGTGCCAAAAACACATTTAACTTTCTTATAAATTTATTTACTTGCATATTATGTATATTCAATTTTGCCACAGTCGCAAAACTTTGTCTTTCCCACCTGAAGCGACTCGTAGACCATCGGGTGACCAGTCAACCGCGTAAACCTCATCAGCGTGACCCGGTAAGTCCTGGCTTAAGTTTTTAGTTTTCATGCTCCAAACTGTAAAAAGAATCATGTTACTTCCAAGTATTCTAACTAGATAAGTTTTCCCACGCCTGCACGTACCTTTTAAAGTTGAATCCGAGCTGCCGCTGACCAGCAGGCGAGAGTCGGCGCTCCACGCAATGGAATAAACCGCTTGAACGTGACCTCTTAGCGAAGCGATGTACACGCCGGTATTGGATTCCCACAGTTTAATGGACTTGTCGAAGGACGCTGACGCAATCATACGACCGTCCGGCGAGAATTTAACGTCGTTGATGAGTTGCTGGTGGCCGGTCATTCTTGCTGAAAAACACTTTCACGATATACGTTTCTCGCTTGATTGGCCCGATTGTATTTTAAAGCCGTGCAATGTACCGATAGGTTTCTTCTCTTTTTCTGGCTTCCACAGGTACAACGTGAAGTCGTCAGATCCAGACACAAGTCTCTCTTCACCTACAGACTCGTACTGCTTCCTTGCGTATTCCAATGGACCGTCCGTTTGGTTCGCGGTCGCTCCTAGTTGAAAAGGACCGACTCTAAGCACGTAATCGACATTCAAGGCCAAAGTGTTGACCCAATGGCCGTGCCCCTCTAAGGTTCTACACAGTACACCCTGGAATTGACAATCAGTTGGCAGTGTAATTGAATGCTTATTCTAGCCGCCTGCCATACGTACGTCCTCCGCCCTCCACACTTTGATAGTCCTGTCCTGAGAGGCGGAATAAATGAGGCCGCCTCCGCCCCACTTGACGCAGGTGACACTCTTCGTGTGGCCAGACAGAACTCGACAGGTCTGCGCTCTCTTCGTGTCCCAAATCCGCACGTCGCAGTCCTTGGACGAACTCGCCAAGTGCAGGCACTCCGGATTCTTATGATAGGGTTCCCAGCACAGAGACGTCACCCACATTTTGTGTCCTGTCATGGCTTTACCTAGACGACAAACGTGGAAAGAATATATTCTTGCTCGGGCAGAGGGCACAGGACGGACGGCGAGTGTACTTATGAAATCTCTACCTATTTGTTTGCCGGTGCCGGGGTCCCACAAGTGAATCAGCCCGTTTTTACACGCGGATGCCAGCCTGGTGCCACAGGGCGACCAGGAAATGCACAGGACCCAGTGCCTGTGCCCCTCGCACGTGTGATGCGGCGTTTGCGTGAAGATGTCCCACAGTCTGACGGTGGTGTCGCCGGAGCCGCTGGCCAGGTGCCTGCCGTCCGGCGAAAACGCGACGGATATAACGGCCTCCTTGTGACCTGCGGAGGCAGAGAGTGCTTTAACGTACGTTCACACGCGTTTCACCGGATGGCACGCGGAATCGCCGAGAGACCTTCCAAGGACCCGGTGCACCTCGTGACGGCCCTGACTCTGAACACCGCCTGCGGCTGATACACAATCTCGACGACGTCCTCGCTGAGGCTGAAGTCCCCGCCGACGTATCTCTCCAACGTGTCCGTGACCTCGACGTTGTTGACGTAAAACGCCAGGGGCAGCGGCTCCTCCTGCTGCAGCAGGGCGTTGCAGATCGCCTGCAGCTTGTCCACCGTCACGTCGACCGGCAGGTCCAGCAGGCCGCCGGGCAGAACCTCGCCGGTGTCCGATTTGAACCGGGACAGAACCCTCTTGGCCTCGGCGCCCGCCGGAGCGCCGTCGGCCACGTCGTCCAGATTCCTCTTGCTCATCTTGTAGCGTCGCTAAATTAAAAAGAAAGATCTCCGCGTGCACTCGGAAGATCTTTCCAACAACACGCCGCGTGCCGACGAGGTTTACGCACCGCGTGCCGTGCGCGTTCGATCTTTAGTTCGCTGACACACGTGCTCGGGTTTGCTAGATGGCAGCAGCGCGACTTCCCTCTCGCTCGACGTTCAAAAATGTTCAAAAGGTCGAAGCGCCGCAGCAGCCCGCACCGTCGGTCGGTCGTCGGATTCCGTGGCGGGGACTTTCGCGAGCGAGATCTCACGTCCTGGCGACGGGACGAAGCGACACGCGATGGCATCCGTCTCGTTGGAGAGCGCCAGGGACAAGGAACAGGAGGATCCGATTCGATGCATATTCTTCGCCGAGTTTCACCACATAGCGGGGCCGAAAATCACATGTCAGGTTAGGCCGCGCGTCGCGACAGGTCGCGGCTGATTTTCACCGTGCGATCACGTTTTCTTCCGCAGGTGCCCGACAATTACATATCCAAGGACATATTTGACAATGTCAGCGTTTACATCATACCGAAGGCGCAGTTACAAAGAAGTACAATTACAATGTAAGTCGTTAGCGTCCGCGACCGGGGCAAGTTGCCTCGTACGTTTCATCGTAGAATCACCTTCTCTCCCCAGCACGTTGAAGGAGTACAAGATCCTGGGCTTCCCCGTGAAGATCGTCGATAAGAAATACGCTAGGAATGCGTTTTACTTCAACTTGTGCTTCGTCTGCGACGCGGACGCTCGCACTGTCCACTACGAGCCGGTGGTTAGGAAGATGTCGGATTTCTTGGTAAATCTTGCTATCGGCTTTTCTTTACGCTTTTAATATTTCGCACAGCACGTTGCACTTGCGTACTGATCCTCCGTGTGGTCGTCAGATGGCTTTGGAGCTGGAAAATTGCTTTCTATCTGCCTCGGACGACAAGAGCAGACTGGCCGAGATGCTCGCGCAAGCCATGCAGGACTTGAATCTGCACAAAATGTGTATATTGACTGGTGGGTCTCGCATATGTGTGCACTCAAAATGTCCTATTGCGATTACGTTACGCCTGATATTTTTGCCAGAGGGAACAATGACGTCGCACTTGAAAGTTGTGAGATTAGCGCCTGAGCCGAAGCCGGTACTCGATCACCAGGTGCCGATATTTTTGGAAGACAAAGAGTCATTTCAGAACGACCAGTGGGACTTGACTACGCAACAATTATTACCGTACATCGACGGCTTTAATCACGTGGCGCGCATAGCTGCTCTGGCCGACGTGGAGAATAATTTGGTTAAAAGCTGCGTGCAGAATCTTGTGTACGAGACACTTCGCGAAACCGCGCTTTCACGGTCGATTGTATTGTAATGCGCACGTGTCTGTCTTTGCAGATATTACGAGGTCGTAACGTTAATTCCAATATTTCTGTATAGCAACGTCTATGCTGCGACTACGAAATTAAGAAAATTTCCGGACGATGCTAAATTAGTGGAGAGATGTGTAGCGTACGCTTCTACATCAGGTAAAGAGTTTTTTTTCCGAACGTTATTAGTTTACAACAAAATGAGGATTCACAGACGGATTTTTTCTCCTCGCAGCTAGACAGCCGGCGTATTTTAGGGACATATACCGAATGTATACAAGTATGACTTACGGCGTCACTATGAAAGACTTGTGTCAACGTCTTAATCCACAAAACCTACGGATAAATGAGCGAAGGCTGGTACAATTTGGTATGATCGAGGGGCTTATCAGGAGGATATACAATGTAGGTGACTTATGCGTTGCGTCGTACGCCGTGCATTGTGTAGCGGTATATTAATTTAATCTTCTCTTATAGTATCCCGTGCTTCATCCCGAGGCGGTTTCCAGCGAAGAAGCAAAAAACAATCCGGTTTACAAGTATTTCACAGGCGCGTACAACATGGACGAAATATGCTGCAGCACGGGCCAGTCTGTCGCGCAAATTGAAGATATCGTCGAGCGTGATCCGAACGTTCTAATGATACGAAAATAATGTGTCGCAGAGATTGATAAGACTGAAAAAAAAACCTAGACAATTTTTTTTTAACTCTTACACAGCCATGTACAAAAATATATACATGTGTGTATATATATTTTTCTGGGATTATATATGTGCGATAATATTCAAGATTATGTAGTTAATATATACATAGATGTATATTATACACATATACTATATGTTTGTATACTTTTATACATGTACACATACATGTATAAAATCTAGATACATAAATAAAAAAAAAAGTGAAAAAGTTCTAATCAAATGGTAACCTATCAAATGTTAAATTCCTCCTCGAACTTCTGATGTTACTTAGAAATTTTGTTACAAAAGAAGAAATGTGTGATTTGGTGTCATCTTCAAAACCCGATTAATTATTTTTATTTCTCAGCTCGATGAAATAATTCATTGAATAGTTTCGATCATGCGTTTCACTTCGTTAATATAAATGTCAGGGACTTTGTTCTCTCTCATTTCTTGGCACTTTCGTTCCATTGCATCTTGCAATTTCTTCTTACGCGTCGCAGTTTTAGCGCGTATTGCCAAGCCTTCTTCGAACATCTTCTGCCGCTCAACAATGCGTTCTCGTTCCTTTTCATTTACCTGTCCAAGGGAAATAAAATCATATATATGCTGTACAAAAAAACGTATGTATATGATCTACAATTACTCACGCTCGCGCGCGCGTCTGTATGTGTATATACATATCTAGTTATGTATATTAATGTCAGCGTTGTGTCTTCAGGTATGCGAAGACAATTGACACAAACCTGTTTTAATATTTCACTGCGATGAATTATAGCTTGTTGTTGCTTTTGCTCGAGTTCCCTTTTTTCTTTGCAATAAGCTGTTTGTTGCACACGTGCAATCCTCTCGAATTCCCGCCTGTCTCGCTCGATCTCAATCGCTTGCATTATCCGCTTATTGTTTACTTGTTCCTCCCTTTCTCTCTGAAGAATCTTTTGAGCCTCCAGTTTCTTTAAAGCTTCTTCCTTCTCTTTTCGTCTCCATTCCCGTTCTACCTCTTCCTGAACTCGAGCCGCATTGATCTCGTCAATTTGCTCCTGCAAATTTATTGTGACGATTTTACCCACAATTAAAACTTTTATGGCCTAATTAAGTGTTTCTTTAAAACATTCGTATAATTAGACATTCAATAAACTGTGACATACTAAAAATACGCATAGAAAGAACAGACATCAGAAATCACACAGAGGTAGTTTATAACGTTCAATGTACATTAATTGTTTTAATTGCGAAGAGAGCATTACAGTGCGATAATACGTTGCACTCAAGTCTTTTTTTTAACAGAAATAACCATACGATAAAAAAAACGAAGCGCAATTTCGAAAGAACACAATTGCAGATAGCGGAGACCTGACGTGGCGCTCGTGGATTCATTGACCCTCGACAACAGGTAGTTGAGACACACAAGGATGTATGTAGGTAATTATAGAAGTAAATGGAACGATACGCGCAACGATATAATGTATCGCATAAAATATAGTGTTTCCATTAGTAGAAAAATTCATGAACTTGCGACGTACTTTGTAAAATTCCTTACGTGGTGCATTGTTTTCTAGCGTGACTTCTAGATACACTTATGTCTCAAACCTTTTCGATATTTACCTGAAGATCGTGCGCTTGTACCGTTCGCATCGCCACTCTGGTTTTTTCTCGTTCCCTCTTCAATCTCTCTAATCTCTGCTCTTTCATCTTTTTGGCCTCTCTCTCTTCTTTCATTCGATGATAGTTTTGTATCCTGAAAAATGTAATTTAATAAAAATCATTTTTCTTATCGAGGAAAGATATAAAGGAGACGATCCTAAGGTTTCAAAAGCTGATAGTAGTTTGAAAGAATTTCGAAAGCTCTGGTGAAGCACACCTTAGGTCTATAATTCTGTTCTCCTCCTGTTCCATAGCCTTGAAATGTTTCAATTGTTCGTTTCCTTCCGCAAGTTCCCGCCGCACCCTAGTATTTTCAGCCTCTTTACTGCGCAGCTTCTCGATTTCGTCTTGCTGCCACGCGATGTTATTCAAGTTGATGAGCCGGCTTTCCTCCTGCTTCCTCTCGAACTCGAGGATCCGTTGCTCCTCGTTCTCCACGATCTGATCCTTCAGGATCTTGGCGAATCGCAGCCTCTTGGCCGCCTCCTCCTGCTCCTTTCGCGACTCCTCCTTGATCGCCCACCTCCTCTCGTCTTCCATCATCTCGTTCAGTCGTTTCTCCTCCTCGAGAAGCTCCCGTTCCATCAGCTTCTTCTCCGCGATCTGCAAACGGACAGCTAAATGTACGAAAATTAGATATTACGGGGACGTTACGTCATATACGGAATTTCGTTGTAGACTCGGCGGTTTACTTGGGCGTCGCGGATAGCTCGGCACTTGGTCTCCAGGATCAGCCGATTGCACCTCTGTATCTCTTCCTCCTGCTCCAGACGCATATTGTACGCCCGCTCGAGGATGTGCATCGTCCTCCTCCTCGCCTCCTCCTCGATCTCCCTCGTTCTCGGATCCTTCTCGCGACTCTTCTTCATGTCCATCATGCGGACTGCCTCTTTCCGCGCCACGCTCTCCTTCGTCAGCCTCTCCCTCTCCTTCTCCGTGGTCTCCGCAGCCGTTCGTCTCTCCTCCCTTGTGATCACGCGGCTGCGTTCTTTCAGGTCCTCGTACTCCTTCCTCGTCATGATCTTCGGATAGACCGTGGGTTCCTTCGAGGGAATCAGATATTTCCTCGTGCCGCTCTTATCCCTTATCCTGCCGACCTGCCGGCAATAGTTTACACAGCTGCTTTAATTTACAGACAAACTTAAAGGGAGACACACCAATTTTCTCCTTAGCATTTAACGTAGCTGCGAGAGGAAGTCGCGCGAAGATCTACATCCCGCATTTTCCTCGTGGAGAGGGTGCAAGGTGCGTTACCTCTTTCCCCTCGTACGCGCTACTCCTTTTCAGATGAATCGGCCTGTCGCCGAGAGTACGATCGCACGCCGACGGCAGGTGGATCGTGTACACGCCCGGTGGAAATCTGGAGTCGCCGCGGTACTCGAGGTTGCTGGATCTCGTCCTCCGTGCCACGGTCTTGGTCGACATGACGTACGTACGTGGCCGGAATTCGTGAGGAGAAGAAACGTCAGCCGAACAACGGTCGCGGGATCTCGCTTGTGGAATCACGTTCTTTCATCGCGCGCTACCGCTTCCCTCCGGAATCGTGCCGGTCGGCACCTTGACACCGGCGGCGAAAGGTGAGAAAAAGGCCCGGGGTAACCCGATAGGAACGCGGGCAACCGTGCCGAGCGAACGTCGTTAACTGTTTGCCAACGAGCAACCGTTCCTTTGTTTGTTCGATAGGCGAAATTATGCACGGGGCTTACAGGTGGCCGATCGTGTTACCGGGGCTCGCGTTTCACGCCTATCGCAGACGGACGGCGATAAACGGGCAATAATCTCGCGGATGAGAGCCGCAGACGAGGACCGCTGGCACCGCTCGAGCGAGGCACGAATAGCCGGCACGGCCCGCGGCGCCCGTTAACCGATGGGAATCGATAGAAATTGCCGTCCGTTCGGAATACACGAGGATACACGAATTCTCTCCCTCGCGATCGCGAATACAATATAAATTGCATAATGAAAGATATATAGTACAACGTACCGTCGGCTTAGCTTATAAAATAAGAATGGTTGCGTGAAGGAGAGAGGGAGACAAAAGAGAGGAAAAAAAAGGGGGGATTCTCTCCCTCCTTTTTTTTCCTCGTCGCGAGAAACGCACATGAAATTACACTTATCGATACGTATGCGTACGCCTATCGCGTGAGCGAAATTAAGCGGAGGCCACGACGATACACCGGTAGTCAGATAAGGCAGATATAGATACAGGCGCAGTTCACGCTATCTGAAACCCCCCTGTTTTTCTTTCTTTCTTTTTTCCTTCACTTTCGATGCAAGCGATCGATCGACAATCGCTACCGGAAGACAGAAGCGACGACGTGTACGTATTCCGCGAACGTCCGGCATTTGCACACGTTTGTCTATCACGTACGTGGCCTCCGCCGCGCGGCTAAATATTTAAATGTTTACATATTAAAAAAATTGTCGCATCGCAGTGTAACATACATCCAACGTCGCAACCTCGTTCACCCTTGCGTCTACGATTTCACCCCTGCACTTGACCTTCCCCGCCGCCAGTTGCTATGAGAACGTAATTTATACTCAAGATAGCTTAGGTTGTATATTCTCCACTCTCTTCTTTCGCGTGTAATTTATTTCTCATCAGCCATGAGTCATCATCGGTCCTTTTTTCTTACTCTTCGTCGTCATCGTCATCTTCTTCTTTCTCCTCTCTCCTTTTCTCCGTACGTCGTATCGCGCCTGCGGAAATATACATTGTAGAATAACTCGAGTCTAATAACTAGGAAATGGCATAGCAACTTTGCGGGTAATAATTATCCGATCAATAACGAAGGATAGAAGTTTCGTGCAAATGGTTAAGAGTCTTCGAACGGCAATTCGAGACAAAAGACAATCGATCGCCGTGTGTAGGGACGTGCTTTACGTGCCTGCGAGTTAAATTTAGCCCGAAGTTTAAGTCCTCGACGAGGGGAGAGAGAGAGGGAAGAATCGTCGGTCTAATTTGAAAAAGGATCGGATTGCGCCGGCATCTTATTTATGCTCGTGATAGCGGCGTACGTGTTTTTCCCTGCGAAAAAACATACGAGATATAAAATTCGCGTGTTCAAGCACTATCTTCGGCATATCGATTACGATAATGAGTAGCATTATCGTAGTCGCTAAAGCTACTTAATATTTAATTAACGGTTGGATTCAAGATACCTATTAGATAGTTGTACAAAATGGGCCGAAATTCAACGGTACGGGGCTTGGTTTTTTCTTTTGGCGAGATTAATAATATACTTTTTTAAACCTGAACGATAATCTCAAAGGCTGTTGGCCGCTCTCCTATAAATAAAAAAAAAAATACAATCCGTTTAAATATGAAACAACAATTTAAATAATTAAAAAAGTTGTACGTAGAGCAACGAGATCGCTTTTATCTTTTCAACGGAACGTTTTTTGACCGTTCAGACAAATTTATTGATAATTACTTCTAATCGGAAAAGATTTATTCTATCTCCTATTCTGCGTTAATTTCGAGGCGACCCCGGCGAGAAATGATTCGTCGATCGATGTCGAAACGATGTCGAAGCGACATCGTGTCGACGAGTCATTTCTCACTGGGACCCTCAATTGTACATTACATTTCGGCTCATTTCTCGTACACGGATATTTATTTGTCTTCGGCATTATATGAATTAGGATTTATTCGACAAATGAATAACTTCCGCGAACGGCGTGCGTATCCCGTGTCCAGCCTCGCGGCCGCAAAATAGAAAATTCGCCGGCGTCGGGCGCAGGTCGTCGTTGATCCGAGGGAGTCCTAACGACGACAGCCCCCCACGGTAACGACTTCGGCGTACCACGTGGCGCTCCTATGTTGTACCTCGACGCGGCGATCATACTCGCGTGCTGCACACCGGCTCCGGCGCATTGGCCTGTCGCGTCGCGCCGCGCGCGATACATCGGCGACGCGCCTGTCGTTGTGGACACGAAATTACACACGACAGATCCGTACGCCCGTGGACGGCGCACAAAGTGCGCGATGGATTATCGATAGCGTGAATCTCTCGTGCCCGCTGATCCACGGATAAGAACACCGTCCCGCCCGGAGCTGGAAACGAGTGGATCGGTGGAGATTAGTAAAAATTCAACATCGAACCTTGCCGCGCTTTAATTTACAAATGTTAAAATCAGTCGAGCTTCGAGTGATCGGTAAGGTACCTCAGTGATTGCAAGGTCTGACGCGAGGATCCGCTCAATCCGGAGGCGAGCCTTTCGATGTGCTGGTGCGTGTAAACGGATGGGACCGCAGGTCCACTGTGACTCCTCCTGTGCGCGGATCTGCCATTAGGATACCATGCGTCCGCAGGATAACCGCTTAATCGCCGCAGTCCTCGAGGAATGATAAGCGAAGTCGTGGATCGTTCTGGAGCTCCGCCTATCGAGTGAGTGCCATTTTCATTCAGAATGTATCGAACAATTATATGATCGCGTATACCTTTATATAATTCAGATAGCCTTGGCGAGATAGAAATCGGTTTTTTCCCCGATAATTTTCCCACTGAAGCGTCCGGCTCGCGGTCCTCGAAACGTGCGCTCTATTCTTCTGCCCGTTTAACAAAGGAGCAATTACGCCCAAGCGGGTCGATACAGTTCAAATTATGGAAATACACGCCGCTCACCTCCATCCCGCTCTTTATCCCGTTTTCGCCCGCTCGACTCGCAAGAATTCGAAGGATATCGGCGCGAGATCGGGCCCGCGGAACTTTTCAATCGATGACTCGCCTGCTATAAGCGTACGCGCGTTATAAACGCAGATGGATCGTGGCGGAGGAGCTTCCAGGAAGAGGAGTGAGTCGACGATTTCCTCGCGAGCCGATCTTGCCCGGATTTCGTCGATATTCGCAAAGGAGGATATGTCGATGACCCTTATATACCCGGACGTAGAGGCGCACGTTCGCTGTAAAGATCTATCTATAGACATATAGCATTCGTCGGCCGCATCGGCGCACATGTACATACAATTGCCGTTGTCGTTGTCACAACAAAAGGAAACGACCGCTATCTTCTTCGTTATCTCGCCGCCCATTATCCGTTGTCGTTTAATTAAAGTGACGCGAGAATTTAGACTTCGGTTTTCCGAGCCTGCATGATCTCAATTGTACGCTTATTAATTGTATGTACCTCTCTTTCTCTCTCTCTCTCTGTCTCCGTCTCGATTCCGAGCCGAGAACGGAGACCACGATATCAATGCGTAAGCACCGGTGACATAATACCGCCGCGCGGACAGTTCCCTCGTGAGTAATCCTTCGGGACGAGCGTGCGATCGAAGGCTCCTTTCGTTCTCTCTTCGGGAATTGTATTACGCGCGCAAGAGAGTACCACTCGAAGAAACGACGCCAGGCACTCTCCCGGAGTGGGGTAGGTACAAGGTTACGCTACGTACACTAACTAAGCGGACTTATATAACGCAGAACTACAAAGAAGATACCTGTAAGTGGACCGGTAAATTATGAAAGAGCCTCTTTTCTCTCCGCGAAAGGGTTCTGCTGCCTGGTTATACGCGTCACGCTAACATTATCCGCGTGGGGTGCATGAAGCATTCATCCCCCTTTCGTATTGACGAGGCGCTCAAAAGTTCCCTCCCCGCGTCAGCGAACCCGCCGACTCGGGAAGGCCGCCGTGGAAATTTTTATTTTACTTCAATTTCTCGTCTCTTTTCCTCCGGCGACGACGCCGGAACGAGTTTTCCAACTTGGAATGCCGTTGTTACGACGCGAACGAGTTTTATGCGCGCCCGCGAGACTCGTCGACCTAGTCCAAGTCCCGCAAAAACGGATATAATAAAAATGATAGTTCCCCCGACGTCGATACCGTTCACCGCTTTTCGTTTCGAGGCGAGATTAATGGCCGGGGTCTTCGAGACTTGAGATGATTATAAAATCATATTTATGTCGATACTTACAGAGAGCGTAAATCAAGACGCGGAGAAGACGCGCGCCGGGCTTTTTACGGCGTATAAGGTTTACGACACTAGCCGCGTTTTTATCATCACGTACTTATCGTTAATCCTTGAACGACCGTACAACCGCATAAAACTGCAGATAAGTGAAGCATTAGCAGCTCCGTTGCTTATAACGCGACCTAATAAGTTTTACACTCGATGCACTTAAAAATAAGCGACTGGCATCGCGCGACGATGCTTTTCGCAGAGGCGAATGAAACGAGAGATTCCCGCGGTCCAAAATTGGACCCCTCGCGTCTCGAGGATCCCCCGTGCTCTCTCCCGGCCTGATCGATCTTCGCGGAACAAATTTCTCGGGAATGTAGCGTCGCTTAGGCGCGCGTCGAAGTCGAGGAAAGAAAAAAAGGTGGTTGTGTGGAGACATCAACGTGATCGACTCGCGTGTCCCTTCTCCGATCGTCCTTCCGCCTGCGCCGGAGGATGCGCGTCCTGAACGGCCAATTGAAATACGCCTGTCGCGTCGAAGGGCTCCCGAAAGAGAGCCAGCCGTCGCGCGTGTGGTGTTAAATAGATAGAGGGGGAAAAAATACATTGCACTATTGCTTCGCCGGCCGGCTCGCTCCTCCGCATGACAGTCTACATTGCAGCTCTGTGACACACGTGGAGGGATACCGCCGTACCGCGACCGGCGCCGTCTCCAGGGCGCCGTAGGATGATGCTCGCCACGGCTCGACGGACCCGCCGGGACATTCAATAAAACGACGACGAGTTCCGCTGTCCGGGACGCTGCAAAAGTTACGGAAAGATTTCAAACGCGAGGTACCATCAATCGTGAAGATCTGCGCAAGTTTCCGCGGAAACTGGAATAAAAAGAAAAAAGAAAGGGGGACTAAGAAGACGGCGCTGTATTATGTCTCGGAGAAGACAGATGTCCGCGAAAGAAAAGAGAAAAAGGAGAGGCGAAAGATGAACGTGAGGTGTGAAGGTTCTCGCGGTTCTTTACCTCATCGCGATATCGGTGAGCATCTCCGACGAGTGGGTGGCCGACACGTGATCCCTGCCGTAGTGTTACGGTGATGTAAGATTCGGTGTGGAGTGTACATTAACTAGCGGATGCTAACGATGGAAAGCGACGATAGAAAGCGATAAACGAGAAGTAAGCCTGTGTTCGTGAGCCTCGTCGCCGCGTACCAAGCGAGGGAGTACGCCTTCAGTCTGACATTATGAAAATTACACGAAAACGTAATGTCTTGGTAACGGTAAATCAAGTGTGATATCTCACCTGTATGGATATTCACGATGTCGGCTCGATGTCACAATTCTGCACAATTGTTTATCGTATTCGTTTGACGACGCCGAAGACAATTTGCAAAGGTAATTTGCATTTGTGCTCCTTTCGTTATCAAGATTGAGGGTGTGACCTCGATGAATGGGAACGAAGTCTCTTGACCGGTTAAATGCTTTCTTATAATTATCTCTAACAAATTCCGTCATATTTTTCACCTGAAAAACATAAATGTATAAAAATAGACAAAAACCGTGTGCAAACGGGCATGATGGAGAGGAGCATCTCATTGCTTAAATACCGTTTAAAAGAGAGAAAGAAAAATCCGTTGAAATATATTATATGTTACGTATACCTAGTAAAATTTAAAGTTACTCATAAGTTTCATTATTAATGAATAATATAGAGTGCAATTTGGGAGTACATAATAATAATTAAGAGAATATATTCTCAAAATTTTTACTTTAAATTACTCCTATTTCGAGAGAATATTGTTGTTGCAAGTTATTTTTTAACTATGTCACTACAATGCACCCGAGTAACTGTAAAAATAGATCGTTGAAGGTTTAACGAATTTAGATTACGAAATACCGGCAATTTCGTCATCTAAATTACGTGCTCGTTTCCATACTCGATGCCAGTACTTTTCTTTAAACGTCGATTATCGCGTTATTTAACAATTATATTCGCAGTTGTAATGTTAAGTTGTACCCGTGGCAATTATAATACATCTGACTCACATGCACGTTGCAGTAAAGTTTTTAGAAGAGACTTTTTTTCCGATTTTCGATTGCCACGAGGGGTTCGCTTTCAACTTCTTTGGCGCGACCGTGAATTTCCGCGCGAGGAGAGAAAAAAAAGAGAAATGCGTGTGTGCGTTCGACAAGAGAGAGAGAGAAGGTGGGGCAAGGGGAGCGTGCATCGCGTGCGAAAAGTAATTTCTCCCTTTTTCGTGTGTTCTGTTACTGTAAATGCGGAGCGAAAGACACTCGATGCACAGTGCGTACGAGGAAAAATCGATGAGAATCGATAGGAGACTTCTGACGAAAAAAAAAGAAAAAAAACCACCATGTAAAACGGTTGACATGTAGCGCACGAAGCCTCGCAATTATTACCTTCCCTCTCGCGAGCGCGAGCGTCTCTTCGCTCCCCCCTATGTATTATTTGCATCGCGAGACTTTGTTCAACTTCATCGACCAAAACTGCTAAAGTATACCGTTGGCTGTTTAATACTTAATTGCCCTTCTTTCAACTCTCCCCCCTTCTCCCCCCTTTTCAACCGCAATTATTACTGCAGTGCATGTCGCGCGAATGCAAGGGAGGAGGATGCCGTTCATCTGAATAATTTTAAATGCGACTGAAACGCGAGATGTTCCGGCGAATCACTTGTCGAACTTTCGGAAAAGTCCTCGAGTCTCGTGGATAGCGCGATACAAGAAAGATGCGTTCGCACGATCGGCACCTGACCGTCGCGCTGAAGCCGCGGAAGAGGAAGCTCTGGTCGAGGGACAAGCCCGATCAATCGCTCGCACCTGGAGCCCGTTGGCCCAGGGTCATGATATCCCGCGAAATGCCGCGCGGCGAGTCCAACGATGCCGAGAGGAGCTTGTCCCGATTCGGCGGATGTTCCACGGTCATCGATACGAATGACCCCAACGTCATCGCCTGCGACATCGACGAGCTCTTCTGTGAGAACAGCGACGCCAGCAACGAAGAGAGGACGGCCTGCCCGCGGATTTCCAGCTCGACGGAGCTCGAAGAGGACGAGGTGTGTGCCACGTGCAAGGACTGTGCGGAGTGTCAGCTGCGGCAGAAGGATAGCGCCGCCGCCGTCGCCGTCGCGAAGATACGCAAGCCCGAACGGGGTCTGATGAGCGGCCAGGACGAAGAACTGGCGGTACACCTGGATTATTACGAGGATGACGTCGGCGGCGTGAAGACGGCCTCCACATCGAGCACGGCCACCTCGATAGAGCACGAGAAAGCTCCAATTTTCGTGGACCTGACCAGCGAGGAGTCGAAGCAATCTACCTGGAAGCAGACAATCTTGAAACGACTCAGTGACGCCGAAGAAAGCTCGGAGATGTCGGGTGAGAACGTGATAACGAGCGAAAGCGGTGTATCCACCTGAGTAACGTCATCGATATATCTAACATGTTGCCGATCATGTGTACGCCCTATGAACCATTGCATACAAGTGTATAATTACCTTCAGAATAACCAATTGATAGTATGTATAAACCGGCGTCCAGTCTCTTCTATTTCTTCAATGCCTTTGAACACTTGCAATTGCGAGAAACGTAAAAAAGGAGATTTGTTTCTTCAAGGACTGGAATCTGAAAACGATCCTGCTAGAAAAAGTTTAAGGATTTTTGTGGATTTGTTCAAAACGCATTTATCTTGGAAAATAAAAATTGTGATTCGCGTTACAAACTGAATTAATAAAAGTAGACTCATCCGCATTAATTTGCATTTGTTGCCTCGATCGAATGGCCTTTCGAAACGTTGTTTGACGTTACGCTGACTTCTATTTGCTCAGAAATAGCCTTCAGGAAATGATGTGCTGAATATCATTAATATCATTAAAACACGTGTTTTTTTTCTGAAACTAAATTTAAAATTAAAATAAAAAAGAAAAGGCTATTTTTAAGAAGGACGTCGCATGGTGTCTTAAAAAGTCGCGCCGTTCTAGCGAGATATTTTGATTAGTACGCGATGAAATCTCGAGAAATTCTTTTACAAGGGATCCGGAAAATTTTGGAATAGGTCGTGTGTCCTCTTCGTCGTGTCGACGATGTCCATCCGTGAATTCCGCTCTTTTCTTCTAGAACCTCGCATCATGATAGCCGACAGTTCCAGCAGATTGCAACGCGGCACGGGCAGCCTGGCGACCGCATTGAGGGATCGTGGTCCTTGCGTGATCCCTGTGCAGCCTAATCGCTCCCTGCCGATTCGACCAGCGCCGCCGACACCGACGAGGTCGGCGACATCGATAGTGACGCTGCGGAAGACGCGCTCGCCGATCCTCAAGCTGTCGAAATCCGTGAACCTGGACTTGGTGGAGTTGCAATCTCCGAGCGGCTCGTTGACAAACGAGCTGAGCGAATTCCCTTTCGGGCAGCAGGATGGGAACGGAGACGGAATGATGCTTACGGGCGAGCTCATCGATCGCTCGGACTACATTCTTCCAGACATGAGTAATGTCGTGCAGGTAACGAAGCGAACTGGCCTAAGGGCCGGTCAATTTTTATTCCCTTTTCCCACCTCTGGAAAGGAAACAGTTTTTTTTCCCGAGTACGTTATATTTTTAACAAACACGAAACCTCTTTGTCGTATGAAGTGATTTAAGAATGTAAATCAGAATGTACGTACATTAAAATGTTTGTTACTACAAAATGGTCCCACGAATATTCATTCATTGCTGTAGTCTTATATTTAGTTTATCGTTACGCTACAATCACTTACAGTTAAATTAAATGATCAAGCAATGACCGCGGGTCAAAATCGGAAATTGAAATTAAATATCAGCTATAATAGTCGCACAATCCGCTTTAATTATACACGACTGTTGATTTGACGATTATTCATGCGTTAGATTACGAAAGAGGTCAACAGTGTTAAAAGAAAAAACAGCGAGGATCGGGACAGAGACTACGAGAAGGAAATGATCAAGGATGCGAAGAAACGGAGGAAATCCCACGAAGTCGACGCCGGTCATGTGCGCGACGAGCGCGTCAAGAATATCTTGAAGGAGTACTCCAGAACTTGTTCCGGCAATTTGGTCGACAAAGGTGAAAGAAAATTGCAGCAGCACGTGGTGGTGAGGCTGTGGGATGACAAGAGATACGCGTCACCGGTCGTAGTGTCGACGACGGAGCCGGAGGCGGAAAAGAAGGACATCTGCAACAAAGTCGTGCCGCCTTTAAGACTGAAGAAAGTTGTGCGCGAAGGTACGATATTTTACATTCGATATTTAATTTACTGTTTCCCGGAGTTACGTGAACAAGTTTACCGACGTTATGAATTAATTCAAATCATTTATTTACAATTCCACCACCAAGATGTAATTAACAAATTTTCCGTCTTAGGCCCGGTTTCACCAACGTTGTTTAACTTTCAAGCCTAGCTTAATTCGTACTTTGTATCTTTCCGAATGTTACTTTAAAAAGAGACAAACGTGAATTAAACTAAGACTAAAGTTAAGCGACGTTTGGTGAAACCGGGCCTTAATCCAATAAAAGTAGCTTCGCTCAGCGCAATCAGAAAACGTGAGTTTCCTCACATCGTTAATTATTACTTGTTTGCTCTTATTCTCAGCGAGCACCGTCGACGAATATCGACGTAACGTCGAGGTAAACACCGAGGGGAACGAGTCCAACTATCGCATTGTCACCGGCGCCACGCCACGTCCGGAGTCTCCGTCCGGATACTCCGCTATCTCTTTCTGGAGCAACGTGGCAGCCTCGGAGAAGGAGCTCGAATCGACGACGTGCAACGCGCGGGATAAGTACCGGCGATCCTCGCCGAAGAGCGACGGCTACAAGATCAAGTACCGTCGCAACCGGTTGCGCCAGAAGCTGCGGGAGCTGCGCGGCAAGGCGCTAGAGCTCTCGCGGGAGATGACCGCGTGCAACAACGCCGCCGACACGAGCCCGCAGCGTAGTACCCGGCTGCGGCAGATGATGAACTGCTACGAGAAGCAGATCGAGAACATCTCGAAGCTGCTGTGCAAACTGTCCGCCTCCATTCCGCCGACGACCGACGAGGTCGTCGTCGATCTCGATTATGAGAACGAGCTGGACGAGTGCGCGTCAATCGAGAAAACGTCCGTTGATAGCGACGACGCGCAAGTAAGTGAAATGAGAGCTGGATGAGGTGGCGTCTCGTGAACTCCTTCTCGGAGTAAAATAATTTACATTCTTGCTGAGAAGAAGACCGTTAAAGACCGCAGATTTAGTTTGTCGGATGCAAATTGATGTTGTAAGATCGATTTCGTCAATTATTTCATATAATAACATTTCCGTTAATTAATATTTATGTTGCAAAGGTAAATGGAATATCAAGAAGCAGCGTTTCTCCGTCCCCTTCTCCGGAACCGCCGAAATTGTCGCCGCGCTCTCCTATCGACTACGAGAAAGGCAAATCGCCCGATGCAGCGAGAAACACTCCGCCGGTGCTACCCAGGGTTTACATCGCGATCCAACCGACCGCACTCGAGTGCCTGAAGCAAAATCTAACTGTCGCCAAAAGCTGGCACAAAAACGACAGCTCGCCGAGCTCGCCGACCGAGAAGGAAGTCAAGGTGAATGATACGGATCAAACGATAATACGCGACGACGTGACAGCGGCGACAGTGATATCCCCGGTTTCATCCTCCGAGTTCGAAGATCCGAGAAACAGTACTGTGGAATGGGATGGAGAGGAAGCTTCGCCGAAACTGAAGAGTTCGGAAATCGAGGAGAAAATGCCGGAGGACACTAAAACGTTTGGCGATATCAAGGAGCCTCGGCAAGCAACACCGACGATACCTTCGGACAGTTTTCTAGGCTCGACGATGGACGTCGAGATAGATGGAAGCGACGTGAGGGACACGAAGGAAAGGACCGTCACTCAAGGACATCTCGACGAAGTGACACAGGCTTCGGAGACTGTCGCGAGCAAGCAAGTCGCCTGCGAGAAGCAAGAGCTGGAACAGAAATCAAACGAGGCTGTACCGTCGAATCCGTCGATCGTGAATGAAACTAAGGCAACGGAATACGGGACTTACAATTCGGAAGAAAGGATCAATAGCAAGAATAGGATAGTCACGAGCACAGTCACGGCTGCACAGGAAGCGCCCACGATGATCGGCCGACCGCAAGTACCCGCCGCCAATGTAACTAATATCCTGCAACTGCAGTCGAATTATTACGGCTCGTCTGTCGCGCGCGAAAACGTTGTCTTCACGGACGTCATGCAAAATTCGAGGGATGTGCAAAAGGTGATCTGCGAAAAATTATTTAAGATTAACATACGTAAAATTTGCCATAAAATTGTGTCACTTACATATTTTTTTTTCATTGAATCTGCAAACTATTGTACATAATTTAACTGCGAATGATCGATATCATGTTACGCTGTTATTAATTACGTTAAAAATCGTGCACCGTAAACTTAGGTGGCTTTGGCTACTTTTTCGGTAATTCTTTATACCGTGCAAATTTATCGTACAATTTTTAATACCTGTCGCCATGTTTCCATTTTTTAATGAATTATATTAATGAAGGCTCTGTGTAAGACTAATAGTGAGTTAATATAAGGGCGTTAATTAAATTTGCCGATACTTCACACTCAAAATACAAAGTGGTGTGTTCTTGTTCATTTCCATCGAAAAAAACACCTTTCAATATCATAATAAAAAATTGTCAAAGGCTCTTATCGCTCTTATATTAACTCACTATTATTTTTTATTGATTTTTATATACCATAAGCATTTAAAATTGTAAGGTAAATTTGTATAAACATATACCGAAAAGGTGGCCGAAGCCACCCAAGTTTACGGTATTTACTTTATTTCTTTTTATGAGAAAGGTTTGTGCAGGTTCAACGAATAATCACGATCCGAGTGAAATGGTTAAAATTTACTTTGTGTTGTTTTAGGTGACGTCAAGTATGAGTCAATCTGCAGCCCTGGGTCCAGCAATGCCTTTGGAATTCACTCAACCCAGGTCCGCCGTCAGTAGCTCAAACCAACAATGTATCGTGTAAGTGTAACACATGATGATTCTAAATTTAATTGGCACAAATGTGTTCAACTTGACACGTGCTTTTTTCACTCGATGTATTAGGCTGCCTAATAGCTGCAACAAGGCCACCAAGGAGAAGACCAATCAGCGGAACGACGGAAACCGCATCATGACGGAGCAATTTCCTACGCTGGGCAATTGGGTGGCGCGAATGTCGAAGAAACAGGCTACCAAATCGAAATCAAAGTTGCAATCTGGGATAAGCTTACCAACCGCGTCAACGGCGGAGGCCGCTCGCGTAAGTTAACACACTTTCGCTAGCGACTGCCTCTTCGTTGATGCCGAATTCTCTACTCTTCTCCCGCGCACAGGTTCCCAGTCTGGAGGCGCAAAAGATACGTTCGAGCGCACCGAGTAACGCGACTCGGAACAACATAGTCAACGTGGCGCCGCAATGGAACACGGAAAGGTGGCAGCGTCAGCAACACCAGCAGCGTCAGCAGCAATTGTACGCAGCGGCATCGTCGGCTCCAGTGAGACCGGGCATCTGTCCACCTATCTCGGTTACCCAGTTCTATCCATCTAATTATGCGGTACGGAAAATCCACAAGTTAATCAATATACAAAGGGGACACATTATGAATTTTATATTTGCCAGTAGCTTAGAGAATTAAACATTTCATCCGTAATAGACGTAGCCATTGTATCGCTTGATCCTATTCAGCTAGTCTATCGTTGCAGATCGATCCTTACGGTGGCGCGGCTTTTGGCTACCACTCAGCGATATGCCCCTACGGCGATTACCCCTATCACTCTCGCCTGCACGCAGCCGGCGCACCGCCTATAAGCGGCTACCAAATAGGTCCCTTGCAAGATCCGCACGCGTCTTCGCTTCGCCAGATGCAGCATCTCGACAAGCGTTACCCCGCGCATCTGCAGGACACGGCGTCTCGTCATTTCACCACGGATCTCCTCAAGTATTCCGGCACGTTATCCGCGGGTGGCTATCAGCACGCTGCCGCCGCCGCCGCCGCCGCCGCCGGCTTAGATTACGATCGTCTGAGGACGGCGACGGCCGCCACGCAAAACGGCACCGCGTCAGGTTGCCTGCCGCCCCTGCTGTTACCGCCTCCCCCGCCGTTAGCGGCTCCAGCGCAGCAGTCTTTGGCACGCACTTCCCTGGCCAGCTATCCCGCGAGCAACGGCCAGTGCGGCAGGAACAGGATGATCCCGGACGTCGTGGCTGCGGCGGCGGCTGCTGCGGTGGTCGCGGCGGCCTCCTTTGGCCGACAGCGCGGTACGTTACCGTCGTACGGGAGAACGGACCCGGAGATGGTGTCCGGTGGCATCGGCGGCGTCATGGATAACGAGTCCTCGCAACTGATGGCGGCGAACAGAGTGGCGAATCGCGAACACTTGCCGCAGGAGCAGGTACAACCCGTCGGCACCGTCGCTGGCGTCAATGTGGACTCGCGACTGAACAACGGCGGTTACCGTCAACTGCAGAACTTACTGGACCGATTACCTTACGTGAAGGCGGACGACGCTTATTCCCAGTCGTCGACAGCGATCTTCGACGACAACGCGCAGGAGCCGGCGGTGGTATCCACGTCGACGTACAAGTCCAACAGCGCGTTGACCAAGGAACCCGCGCGGAAAGGGAGTCGCAATTGCGAGACGCCACACCTGGGTAAGGTGACTCGCACCCTGGAGACCACGAGCACTTTGGAGTGCTCCAATTGCGGCCTCACCGGCTCCATGTTCAAGTGCCTAGGCTGCGAGACGGCCTTCTACTGCGACGAGAGGTGCCAAACTCGTCACTGGAACATTCACGTGGAGAAATGTCCCAAGAGGATGCCTAAGCTAAAGAAACTTGTCTGAGAATTATCGTAGAAACGGTAGACCGTAGACAAATTAATGTCTGTAAAGAAATTAACGAGCTCACTGGATGACCAAAAAAAGAAGAACGATCGAGAAAAATCAACGGCATGCGAAATGTGTTACTGTTTTGATATTTATATATTTTCAATAATTTATGTATCTCTAGTCAATGTATTATAAATGATGGCGAATGCGAGTTCTGTGTCTCGTATATCGGATTTACACCGAGAATGTGATAAAGTGTGCCTGGTCGTAAGATAAACGCTTACTGTAATTTTATGGTACTTCGTTCACAGTCTGACGTTCTGCTTTGTAAATTATGAACTGCGAAATACAAAGAGTTCAGCGCACCTCGCATTATATCTTACTATTGTGCGGTAAATGGCGTATGTATTGTGCAATAGCTATAATACGGAAAGTATAAGCTCATCGGTATATTACATGTTGTAATGTAACGAATGTTACGAACGTGCTACCTCTCATGTACCTTACGGTCATAAGCCATTAACAGTATAGTCATAATTTGACTGCAATCTTGTTTTATTAAGACTCCTGGTTTTTCATTGCGCGATCACATTGGATTATAACATTAGGAAACCGTGAATGAGTTCTTTTCACAAATTACGTGAAAAATTTATACAATCTCTCGATTATCGACATAATGCTCCAACATGATTGCAATGAGGAACTGTACTGCAAACCTGCGAAACACAATTTTAATTATTAATAGAAAAATGTGTGTCTAAAAACGGCTAGTAAAATATGATCGTTTTTACAAATATGTATTTAGGAGTCGCATATCTGTAAGAAATAATGCTTACTGTATATTCGTTCCAATGCTTCTTAATTGTTACATAATCATAATCATCTTTTTTTATACTTTTATAACAGTTTGTAAAGAAATTGCAGCACCGCGTTTTTATTAAAAATGGATAAATGGCAAATAAATGGATGGAAAATAAACGGAATACATATTCGTTCGTTTCATAACAAGTACAAACAATGTATACGAATGTTTATTCGAAGAATACCAAAAATATCAAAGTAAAAACCATCAAAGATATCATCACCTATGGTTTAGAATAGATTACATATCTATATATGATATATACATATTTATCGATGTTACAGATAGAGTGGTATTTGCACACAATTACATTTAAAAATTAAAGCTTTGGTGACGGTTGAGCAGCTATTTGATTTAAGAATTTATGAGCCTCTTGATAGTGAGGACTCGTCTCCGCGGCAACTTTGTCCATCCATGCGGTCAGACGCGGTCTGCCCTTTCTCGGCTCGTAACCGGCCATCCCTACGAGAAAAAGTCCCTCGTTACTCAAACCGTGAACACGGCGTACAGCATAATACCTGAAATCGAAAGGTGGCTTACGCGGTTGTTCCAATTCGCAAGCGCAGAATATATCAGCCGCGCTGATCGTGTTTCCCGTCAAGAACGGCTTATCCTTCAGCCATACGTTCTCAATAAGGTCGATGCAATCGGCCATACGACTCTCCAGTTCGGCCACCTTTTCCGGCTTCGGCGGCGTACCCCGTATGAGCGGGTTGAGAAACTGCATTTGAAAAGATCCGTTTAAGTATACCGCGCGCAGAACGTATGTCAGATACACAGAGAAGGTACCACCTTCGCTAGAAAATATGCCGAGCAATGAAGTCTCGTGTTGAGATGCTGCCACTCGAGGTACTCGTCAACTTTTGCCTGTTTCTTCGACTCGGACGGATACCAGTGGTCGTCCACCTTACATTCTCGGCTCAGGTATCGCACAATCCCTACACTAAAACAATCGAAGGCGGTTAAAACAATAAAATGAAAGTGTCGTATTCATATTATTCCGCGGAGAGAGCGATACCTTTCAGCAAGATTGAAGCCGTCGTGCTCTATAGCAGGGACTTTCTTGAACGGATTGATCTGTTCGAACTCTGGAGTGTAATGCTCGAGATTCTTGAGATTTACGATCTTCTTTTCGAACGGTATGTTACACGTTTTGAGAAATATGTATATTGCTCTCGAGGGTTGCGAGAGCAGATCGTAGTAAAACTTCAAAGTCATGGTCGAGAGAGGAAATTCTAGACAGGAATAAAAATCGAAAGAAATTAAAAGAAAGAAAACGTGGATGAAACCGCCCCGAATGTTACTTTCGTATTCACATTGGTTTCGTGTACAAAACGTGTGCTTTGTGATTTTCGTCTCGAGTGAATTTTGTATTAGTCTCGCCTGCATCACGTTGTTGTCGCAAATTCGCTTTAAAAGCGATAACAATTGCGCGAGCTTGAGGCGACATGCCGTTACAAGATTATTATTATTTTTTTAATAAAGGTCAACGATATATTGTACGTTGATCGTTGGGTGTTGCGTCCCTTTGAGGATTCGCTCATTAGTTTCAGTCGCATATTAACCCTTTGCGTCCCAGGTGGTTTTGCCGTGAAACCACCGGTTCGTATTACTTTCATTAGTGGCTTCCTGGTTTCGAAGCGAAACCACCTCAGTTCTTCCCTCGTAAGATATGCAATAAAATATATGCATTGTTTCCAAAAACATGAGATGCAGCAATTACAGTCGGCGATTTATCTTTTATACTTATCGTGTTTATTTCTAGATAGTAAATTTTATTTAAAAAATAATGAATTGTTATAACAGAAAAGATTTCTCTTAGGCCAGTGGTTTCGCTGCGAAATCGGAGTCTAGGCAGTGTATTAGAATAATACATTTTTCGGCGTTGTACACGGAGAGAATTTTCTTATCAAATTCATCCTGAAGATCGTGTAACCGTGGCGCATGGCATTTCGAAGAACTTTTTGAGAGTTTTTTGAAATTTTACCATACATTTTGCTGGTAAAACCTGTAACTAACGAGGGACCGTTTCAAAGTGTCCCCCTCCGATTTGGACGAGCTTCTAGTTGGAAAAATTTGCAAAAGATAAGAAGCAAGATAAAAACGGAGATTAAAGTTAATCTAGATTGATAGAAACCGGACATTAGGGAAAGATGAAAAGCCGAACCGAGATTCGCGGTTAATCCGCATCGGTACGGGTGAATACAAATCGCCCGCGTTAATTCTCGCAGGGGCGCAACTCGAATAGGTCTGCACGTGCCGGCCGGTCGGGCGATATTAGAACGACCTTTGACCTGAACTGGAAGAAAAACAACGGTGCTTCGGATAAACTTAGCGACTACGCACTTACGATCGATGCGACGCAACAGGTAATCGGTGCGGGTAATCTCGCGGGGGGGACAAGGAACGATCCTGCAACAGATAACAGAAAATTATGGACAATCTCGACAACCGTGGAAGCCGGCGCGAAAAAATCGAGCGCGGACGTGGCGGCAATGAAGTCCTCGGTATCGTCGGTAGCATATCACTATCAATGTATCATCGATAACTTCCGTTATCGTCTCTGCTCTCGATAATAAACGCATAAAAATGTCGTTGCTCGACGCGCCGAGTCGATCGGCTCCGCACCGGGTCTTACTCCGCGGATTCTTCTCGAGCAGCAGCACAGTGAAATTAGCTGTACGTGGGCACGCAACTCGACGCCGCTCGCGATTAATCGCCGTTGACGCGCGGTACGTACGAGATCTCGCTCGCTCTCGGTCTTCGGGCACACCGGGGACAGTGACGCGGCAGAACGATCCGCTTTCTTAAATCTCTCCTCTTCGCTCGCGCGCGGGAGGGGACCGATGACACTTTGCGACACTTACGCAACCGACGAATCAGCTGACGCTGCCGATCGCTCCACTGGCTTCACATCGCGCTGGCCCGCTGGCGGAGAACGAAACTCACGGGCGCTCGCTAGAATTTCGTATATGTATATATATTCCTGCCGTAACACACGCAGCCTGCGTATCTCGAACGTACGTTCGCGCACGCACACGCACGCACGGCGCTAATCACATGCACGCGTGAAGTGGCGCTACGACGGGATAGGTGGAGGCACCAGGCCGCGGCGCGGCTCGCGTCGCGCGCGAGCGACGGGACGCCAGTTGAAAAATGGCGGACTGCGAGAAGGAGGAGGCGCACAATCTCGTGAGTTATTTACCTTCGCTTAACCTTTATCTAATCGTCTTAGAGGCCCGAATCCCTAGCCGGCTGATAGCGTGGCCCCCGCGCCGCGCCCAACTATTACGCGCCCGCCCGTCTCGTCGGCCCGCCGCGGGCGTTTGAGGTTATGCCGTCTTGACCAATTTTTTTCTTCTTCCTCCCCCGCGACTACGGCACGCTCCGCACAGATAACGCGGGCACTCCGGCCCCCCGAGCGAATCGATAATTCCCCGTTTAATTCGCTTCCAGCAAATGGAGTTCGAGTGGGTGCTCCACGAGGAGGTGCACTCCTCGTTGTCGCAGCTCCGGAATATCCTGATGGTACGTGTCGTGCATAAAGTATTCCTGTATATATAATGCGGCAGCGCTTAGCTCCGTCCACTTGCGAGCCGCCGTCGGGAGCCCACGCGTTATTAATCTTGAGTGTCTATTTTAAGGAATGTGCTCAACGCTTCCCATTGGCTCTCTTCGGCAACGACCAGCACAATAAAACCGACAGATTCGTCTTCGCGGCCCCGCACGATCAAGTCAAGTGCGTCGCCGTTCTGACGGGCGACAGTATTACGAATGCGGTAAAGTGCCCTCGAGTTCGCGGGATCGCGCTCGGGATTGGTTACAGCGGAATCCCAATTCGCTTTACCTGGCCGCGCCACTGAGACGTTCTCCGTGCTTGCAGGAGGTGAATTTCAAGGTGCAGCGGCAACAGAATATTAACATGAGGACGAGCATTCAAAGTGAACATCCGTGGAAGCTGCAACAAATTCAGGACGCCGCTAACCACTTGCAGCAGGGCATCGCCCACATAGACAATGTGGACAGGCATTATCTCTTTAAAACGTCGGACGAGGTCATGCACGTGCTAGGTAATATCCTGGGCTGCCTGCAGAGGAGCAGAACCAGTTTGATCGTCCCCAGGAAGAAGACCATTGACGATCTTATCAAGAGTCGAAACATGGTGCGTAGTGTTTTGTTCGATTATAAACGCTTTAGCATGGCTGTCGCCCGACACGTAAGGCTGGCCGTTACATTTGTCACATTTTTTGCGTACGTTGACTGGCTGCGGGATAGAAAATTTCTGGATATACTCGAGAACTTTACTGTCCTGGAGCCAATCAACGTGCTTGAAAAATTTTGTCGTACGACAAACGTAATACCAGCCTGATACGGTGAAACTTTTGTGTTTTCTTTTCGTCTCCGCAGAAATCTCTGAATCCAAACCTTCCGGAGAACTTGGCCATTAGCTTTTACATTCAAAGCTACAAACTGGTTTTAGCTGTTTATCAGTTAGAAAATGCTCACGGTAGCGTCAAGTATGAAACCCAACAGGCGGAATGCAGCGTGCCATGGCTGAATGATGCTCTCGTATTGCTTACCATAGCTCTACAACTTTGTCAACGACTGAAAGACAAGGTTTGTTGCGGCTGCTTAATTAAACTTTTTCCAGCTAGACTTATCCTGCTCTCTAACGCGATGAACTTTTCAGATATGCGTCTTTTCTCAATACAAAGATTTTACGGTAGGTTCTCGTGTTCCTTCCGCGATGGGCTGGTAACCTAACACCAAAATTCGTCTTTTCGAATAAAACTCAATACAGCGTACGATGGTACACGCAAGTGAGAAAGATTTGGCCTCAACTGGTAATATTTGCCTCTGGCCTTTGTTTTTATATATGTTAATTGTTGTCCCTTCATCGTATTTATCACTGCACTAGAGTTTTTAAACATTTCCAAATGTAATTATAGTGTGCGCCTAGTATATGTATATATAGTAATATATGATGTATCGTAAGTTACTAAAATACCCGATCAAAGATTCACATGGAGATGTGGGTCACCAATGGATAATAACAAACCGCATATTATAATAGCCCGTATAGGCCAGAAATGGAAGATTTTGAGAGCATTTTGCCAATTACTGGTGTGCCTATCACCATGTTGTACTACCTGTGTTCTTCCCATTTCTGTGGTAGGTTTTCATCATCGTGTAAATCCAACTTTGGCATATAATATCTAAAAATTTGTCATTTTATCTACGAATTGATAGAATGATATTTAATACGTCTACTGTGATTCTAGAAATCTACGCTGTAATCCTCTCCTTACTGGATTTGCTATAGACGCTTGCGTACATATTTACACAACTTATTGTGTGCATAATCACCAAAAGAGCATTTTTAATTTAATTTCACGAAACTACCAAGTTATTCGGGAAATCACGTTTTTACACTTCAGCTTTCGCGTATGTTTTAACTGTCGTAATATACTCGATGAGATCAAGAATTCCTTTCAACGTCGGTAATTTGTTCGTACCGATACAATAAATCAGTGCCCTGTGAACGTGAACGTTAAAATAAAAATTGAGATCTAAAGCTTGAGAAAGAAAAACTCTTACTTGTCGGACACCCTCTCTAATATTTCTTCCTTTCTAAAGTTTTCGAAACTTCGGAGTAAAAGACTTCAGGTGCAATAACTTGGTATCTGCTTGCTAATAGAAGGCGTGCTAACTTAATGATAACTAATGCGTGTATAGTTGTGGAAATGCCATTTTATTTATCAAGTATTATTTAAAGATAATAAGTAGATAAATACCATGTGCCTCACGTGTGTGATTCCGAATTTGGATAAAGTACCAATACTTTACATGATGATGCAATTTTTGTAATCGGTATTTTGATTACTGAAATTGTTACAGAGGAAATAAATAGTGTATATGTACACACGTATTTGAGAAGGAAAATATATTGCCAAAGAAAATGTTGCTCTAGGTTATTAACAGTAGGGAAAGGATTAAGGTTTATAATTAAAACAAGTGCTTAAATATAATAAGTAGTTAGTAAATTCTTTTAGTAAATTAAAGATGTATAGGAAAAAAATTAATCTCCATTTGCATTTCTTTGATGGTTCAGTGAAATTGTTGAAAATTATGTTTCCAAGAGTTGGGGGGGGGGGGTATATAACGATTATAATCACTTCAAGAGAATCGACACAAAAATTTTGGTGTGTCAGTAAATTCATTCAACTTTCAAGTTAAAGAGTGAGAACAAGATTGGCCCCATTTTTTGCATTCCATTTCGGTCACAAAGTAGGTAGCAAACGAAAGGTCTCGATCAAGATGATCGCAGATATGTCAGTCTCAGAGTGTACCTCTTTAACGTTTCAGAGACGTCGGGCTCCAAAAATTCCCAGGACGTAAGCGATGAAGCCGTCTGGACAGACACCTACCATTTGTTTGGAATGGAACGGAACCTTTGGAGCCCGTTATCTCCGGAACGTTAAATATGTACACTCTGAGACTGACATATCTGCAATCAGCTTGACAAGACCTTTTGTTTGGTACCTACTTTGTGACCAAAATCGAATGCGAAAAAAATGAGGCCGTTTGCCTGCATGTAGACACTTGTTCTCACACTCTTTGATTCTAATTACACATCGAGAAATGGAAAAAAAATCTTGCCCAAGTCATTATTGTATAGTATTTCCACACGATTTATATGCATATAGTCATATGTATGCGTTTATATGTATTTAGATATAATGTTTATTATTTTAATAATTTATATGCTTCTTTTAACCTGCATTGTAATCTAATTCGAGATAACGGAAAGTTGTAATATTTTAAATATTAAATTTATATACAAGATATTGTTTACTGTTGCGTATGTTGTTTACTGTTGCGTATATTGTATGTTATAAATATGATCTAACAACACACCGATACATTTAAAATTTGTCTTAAAAGCTGATTAGGTATTATTGTACTTATGTAATTTACGTGTTTAATTTATTTACGACGATTAAATAAATATATGAATTAAACCGTTATCAACGTTTACGCGTGTCTATCGCAACCCAATTTTTTTTCTTTTTTAATAAACCTACAGCCGCCGTGATCTCGCGTATCCGCTAAATTTTCATATTGATTAAGGATCAGTTTTTTTTAAGCACTTCTAAATTTAAATTTCTCTTCGAATTTGATGCAACACGGACCAGAGTGTTATTGATTATCTACAACTCGACAAAGTACAGATGTATAGTTCATAGATACACGCGGAAAACAGTGATATCTTTTTCAGATATTGTACTTTATCCGTTTGTAAAATAAATCTTGTGAGTCGAGTGTGTGTGTGTACTATATGTATAAAGTACACCTCAGGAGTGTAATATGTATTAAGCTATATAGATCGTGTAACCACTTGAGGTTCATCTTTGGCACACGGTATCATATGGCTCGTTGGTCTAGGGGTATGATTCTCGCTTCGGGTGCGAGAGGTCCCGGGTTCAAATCCCGGACGAGCCCGTGGTCTTATATTTTTTTTCCTCTAAACTTGCATCTCATTTTTTTTCACTTTACATCACAATTAAACGCCGCTGGCGTTATCGTAACGCACGTATCGCGCAAAATTCGTGTATAAATAAGGATATTTTACACTTTCTTTGATTGCACTTTAACGTGGCGCATAAATTGATTGCCTACAGTTTGCTTTCCAGTGCTCTCCCAGTTCTTAGTCTTCTCCCGTTGAACGATTCTGATAATGGATCGATAGATGCTGTACTTCGTTTAGCCCCGTACAAAGATTGCAAAATATCTATACGTGCTTGCGTTTCAAGCCGCGTTTAGCGAAGACAACCTCGGGGGATTCGAATAAGCGCGTGCAATATGGTACATCCAGTGAATCTCATCAATCGAGTCTTTTTCGGGTGTAGACTGGCGTAGATGAGCGCGCGTTAATTGGCTACGTTTGATGATGGTTTATTACCGCGATCAGTGAACGCGCGCGACAAATGCATTTGTCTACACTAGTCTACACCCAGAAGGAACTCGGTCAATGAGGCTCACTGTACATACGTATGTACATATACAATCTGCAGACAGAAACCTGAGAGCGGCCATGCCGGCGTTTTGCTTGTTACCGTTTTCGCTCGACTGATTCCAGCGCTTTACGCCCATTTTCATTTTTGGAACTATTCCGCTACACCCATTAAGGGG